TTATTTATTTTTTTTTATTTGACTAGTTGATGTCCTTGCACTAGGTCAATATAAGAAAGGTGAGTTGTGTATACAAGAATGATTTCAGTTTTTAGTTCGTTTTATTAAAGAACTATTTAGCAATTTTAACTTTTACGCTAATTACATTTGTTGTTAATATTAATTAATCTGAATTTTTTGTTTTTTTTTTTGACAAAGAAATAAATATCTTTATCTAATATAAGTCATATTTTTATTATTATTTTTTTTAATAAAACATATATATAATTAGTTTCAATAATTATTTTATTTGAAAATTTTAAAAATAAAATATATAAATTTTTCATTAAAGAACAATAGATATCATAGAATAATAAATGATATTTTAAAAAGTAAATAGAAAAAGGAAGATAGGATGAGGAGATTGACATTTAATTTGAAGATCAAGCCGTCATTTTCATTGAATCAATGTTATCTTTTTTTTCTGTTATGTAGATGATATTTGGAATCGATGAAGAAAGAAAATATTGTTTAATCATTGTTTTGTATGTCAATATAACAAAAAAAAAACATTTTTTTTTAAAGGCACATGTTAGTCTTCTCAATATTAGTTTCTAGCGCTTATTATTGATGATAGTAATTCGAAATTTCAACATAAATCAAATTCACACTGTCTTTCATTTGATGAATAATTAGCATTGGTATTTTTTGAAAGAAGTTCTGTTTTTTGTTTATCAAATCTTATGCGAAGAGCATTCCCAATCATCTAATTATTATTCACTGGAGCATATTATCATTTGATTGGCCATAATGAATAGTGAAAGTCTTTTTTTTTATTTAATTTTTCGATCTTCTCTTGTTCAATTATTGACATTTTACTTAACTTTTGCCTCTATGACCGTGTAGGATCATTGAGAACCTGAATGATCGAATTTCGAGCTGAAATTTTATTCATAAGTACACCTTATAGTCTGTAGAAAGAGCCCAAAGTTCGAACCAGAACGAACAAATCCTTGTTAAGATAATTCGATTTAAAAACGTCCTTGTTTTGAACTGTATTTCAAAAGAGAGACGACGTTTCTATGGCAAACTGATATCTCAATATGGATACGTTTGTCCTAACTCAAACTTTAAGGCATTCTAGTGACTATAGAACCTATCTACGGATAAAATTTGTTCTTTCAGGTTCTCAGTGATCCTATACTCATAACTCAACAAGCAAAGACGGGAAAACTAAACCAAACAAAACTTTTTTTACTATTCATTATGACTGATCGAATGGCAATAGTTTCAAACGACAAGTGATTGAACAGTTGCGAATATTGTCTGATGAGTGATAGATTACTACAGATAAGCAACTTGTGAAGATTAAAAACCTAATCCTGCATATTCAACGATCATGACCAAGTCTTAGGAAATGTCATTTTCTTAAATTACTACTAGATATGGACAAGATAATCTCAATATCAGAGGAACCGAAGGTTAAAAACGACTGATCTCGTTCAAGTCTAATTCCAATATCTGTATCTTCCCTGAATGATAAAAAAAAACTCTCTGAAATTTTTTGATTATAGATAAAAATCATTTAGATCTACTACCAGTAAAAATTTCATTGATTCTTATTTTTCGAAATGAAATGAAGTATAAATAAATGTTCTGTATAAAAGTTGTTCAACTCTGAAGTTTTTAATCCAAACAAAAAAATTGTTTTGACCGAAAAAATTTTCGAGATAAACCACAGTTGCGATTTTAATAAACTAAATACTCCATTTTATTCAAAATTCGATAGTAATCTCAACTATATATATAATTTGAAATAAGAATAGCAGACAATAAATTTACATAAAATTAACAAGGAAACTCTCAAGATGTTGAATCGCTTTTCGACTGAAATGATGTTCATTTGATGAGTAATATAAAATATCTCACAATAGGAAATACTAGAAAAGTTAGAATTTGTCCAATGAACTAATCTCATTAAGAACTTTGTTCGTGCAACTCGATTTTTCATATGATCATAGCTTTTCATTGAAAAGCTCAGGGAAATTCGGAAAACTTAACCATTCTAGTAAATGCACATGATCTCAGTCGAAAAGTGATTTGACACCTGGAGAGGTTCTTCTTCGTTAGTTTAATTTACCCTTGAATGTTCAAAGTGGATAACTGATAGTTGATCCCTGGTGTAATATTTTTTTCTGATTTTTCTTTTTGTTTATTTTTAGTATTTATCAAACTAAATTAAAGTATATTTTATTCATTTAATTATGGATGAAGATGCACAATTTTTAAATGATTTTCAAACGGGAGTTTTACCATTTGAACAATGGACACATCGAGCTCATATTCGTATGGCTTATTTAGTTTATAAATCATCGAATAATTTCGAAGAAGGTCTATTGAAAATTCGACAAGGTATACAAAATTTTAATAGTTTACATGCATCAAAACTTAAAGTTGGTTTTCATGAAACAATGACACAATTTTGGACAACAATGGTATGGAATGCAATACAAAAATGTGATTCATCTATTTTAAATTCTAATGATTTTATTGATCGAAATAATCATTTATTAGATTCATCATTATGGAAACAATATTATTCACCAACACTTATGTTTTCACCAGATGCAAAACGTAATTTTACACCTCCTGATTTGAAACTAATTTCAATTGATGCTTTACATACTACAAACTAATAAATATCAATAGTATCTATTAACATTATATGATACATATAATTTTACAAAATGAAATGATAAACGATAATTAATAATAAAATCCTTCTTATAGAAAAATATGATTGAAATCAATTCTTTCTATATTTAGCATTTATTCCGAGAGATACTAGTCAATATTAAATCTTGGAAAATAATTTAACATTACTGTACTATTTTTGACAAAGGTAGAATTCAGATGGCTGGATATTGTCTTGTAGCTTCGATCAGTGAAGGAGCTCAACTCGACCCCCTGCCTTGATTATGCTACTAATAGTCCGGAACATTTTCTATTTAAATATGAAATAATGATCGAAAAAATGTTCAAAAAAAACTTCACTCAAGATTGACTAAGTTTCCAATTTATAAGATAATATCATATGTGTAAATTATTTTAATGATCATTGAATTTAAGGGTACTTGTAAAAACTGCGGTCACTCATGGCTACTTTGCTTTTTAATTATACAAGATATTTTGACAAATATAAGATAACTATCATTATCTTTTACATTTTAAAACTAAGACTGGCTTCCTAATTCGCTTCTTTTTTTGGGAAAAACTAAATGTTAAAGGAAAATAGTCGATAATGTTGACTTCTTTGAGTAAATCAATATACTTTTAATCAATAAGATCAATAACAAGGTTGAAAATTGATCTTGAGTACGTTTTGAGACGATCAAATAGACATTAATTCCAATTCGAAATATTTCTTAGTAAATTATTTTGATTTTGTATTTGATCCTATTAACTAAAATATTAATATTTATTAAAGTCAAAATTTAGAAATATTAAAAGAAAAATTAGATGCTTGAGTGGAACAACAAGACAGCTTCGAATATGAACTTAAACACAATTTTCAATAATTGAAATTCAAAAAATCCGACTGCAAAATCTACCGAATGGGAGAATTGTTTCCAAGACGTAGTCAGTTAGCAAAATAATAAAATACGATTTTTCCCGATAAGATTCTGAAAATTTCGTCAGACAAAAAATTTTCTTAAGTGCCCGTTTGCATCCAGCAGTAGGAGATTAGTTAGTAATAACCTCTAACAAATTTTGTAAAAATTCACCGCATAATGTAACTTTAAAGAAGTACAGTTTTCCTACTTGTAGAGGAATTTTATGAAAAAAATCATCAAAACTGAATTATAGTGTACTCATGATTCAAATTTTTTTCAAGTACCAATTTTCTTGTATATTACTCAATTCGAATTAAATTCCGAGTTCTATTAAGTTTTTATAATTGATCAGAATTAGTATTGTTGTGTTTCGAGAAAGGAGTTCCGATAATGTAGTAGAAATTCTTGTCACAACTTTGAACGTTTTGTTTTTGAATTGAATTTGTAGTATTTTCTCTTTTATAAATTGAATGTATTCTGAATATTCAATGGTTTTCTTTTTCTTTGTCGACGAGTATTCGAGTAAAGTGATATTTAAAGTCAAGTACTTTTGAAGTAGACTCTGCCCTTTTTATCTGTTTTTTGTAGTTCTCTTTTTCTGAGCTCGATAGAAAAAAGCACGACTGTAAATGTCAATAACTGAAAATCGTTTTCATCTTTCGAGTCTTTATTGAATCCAGATTAACAGCGCTGTAATTTATTGACTTTTGAACCTTGTGGTAGCCTTTGTTTGTATTTCAGAAGCGAAAAACTTCGCCTCTTTTTTCCTTTTTCTATAGACTGTTAGTGGGATGCCAGCTAAGAGTAACTCTGAATGTCCATGTGGTCAGCAGTTTTTACACGCAACCAAAACTAACCCTGGACTATCTTGATATTTAATTGTAAAATATATTCTACAAGTTAAAGTCAAAGTAATCATGGGTATCCGTGTCTATAGAAAAGATTATATTCCAGTTGAAAATAAAAAGCACAGCCTCGAATGGCTATCCACACGTTTTATAGCTACCCTGGAAATTATATTCGAAGTAGAAAATCGAAGAGATTTCATTAGAGATTAAATGTAACAGTAAAAAGCTCGACAATGTGATTAACTGGACAAAATATATCAATGTTTTCATATCGTTGATACATTCAAAAAAATCTTATTCATATAAATAAAAAAAGATATAACTTTATACAAACGAATTAAAATACATTCATAAATTTTCTTGTCTCTTAATCATTCTAGTCAAAATTTCAAATATTACGACAAGATTTTTTCTTTTAAATGTTCAATATCAGTGATAATTTATTCAGAGTTGTTTTCAATAAAGAGCTTAATAACAATCAGAAATTCAATTCTAGTTACAAAAAAACAAGAAATAATTGCATAAAAAATATGGAAAGCAAATAATATATATACATGTCCTATGGACATTTAATATTATGTATCCAACTCATCCAAACATTTAAATTTGTTTGTTTACATTGTGTAAATACTTTTACATCACTATGATGACATTCAATTTTTGGATTGTACCATGATGAAAAATTAAGTCGTTCATATATCGATAATGGAGTTTCATATGCCATTTGACATAAAGGACATAAAAGACTCATCCATGTTTCAGGAATTCTTAATTCAATTTTTGTATATTCTCGCCATTGAAGATATTCAAGATATTTTTCAGGATTATTAATAAGATAATTAAGATATTTAGCAAGATCTTCAGGTGTTTTATAATTATTAACATGAATATAAGATTGTTTAGGTGCTATACGTTTATAATCATTTTCATTTGCACCCATAACAATTGGTACAAGACGATGTGTATTATCAGAAATAATATTCCAAAATTTTTCTGTTATATATGAATTACAACGAGAATTTTCAAATGCTAAATAAAAATAATATTCATGAAGATTAATATCACATTGATGTTTATTTTCTTTTGAACATAATTTACCACATTTACCATAAATATCAATATGAATAAAATTTTTTAATTTTTCAACATATTTTTCACGTTGTGAAAATGTTATACAATTAGATACAATCCATGCAATAGGTTTTTTTTTTAATTTTAAACTTTTAATATTCAATTGTTGTTCATATTGTATTTCATGTCTATATGATAATGATAAATTTGATTTTATTTCATTAGATAATATTCGAGATTTTACTATTGGTGTAAATATTGTAAATGGTGATTCATGTTTATATGATATTGCTCTATCGAAATATTGATCTAATATTTGTGGATAAAATGATGGATTTTGATAATAAAAATTAATTGGACTTTCACCTGTAATAAATATCCAATTTTGATTATCAGTTTGTAATTGTTTTCTTTGCGGTAGTTCATTTCTATTTATATCATATAGATGCAATGCAACGAGGGATGCTTGAGATAATTTACTTTTATCACGTGTAAATTGACATTGATGTATCGGTGAACAAGAAATAATTCTAGATAAATTAAACAATGATTCCTGATGCCAATAATAATCAGTAAATAGACTAGTCCAAAGAAGTACAAGACGATAAGATTGATGTTTAAATTTTTGAATAGGTATGGAAATAGTTGTATTTATATAAAAAATATCAGTAGAAAAAACTTTACTAGATTGATTTTGATTATTATCAACCGTATACAAAAACAAGAATATTAATATAAGAAAAAATATTATAGCACGAAAACCTCGTATTTGACATTTTTTAAACATAATAATTAAATATTGAGTACGTAAACATATAAAACGAATAAAATTTATCTGATATACTATGAATAAAATTTAATAGATTATTTTGCTTTAATATCATTTATTAAACTTACATCTTTTGTAACAAATAAAACGAATCATCTTAAATAAAAGAAGAAAACAAAATAATATATATATATATATATAGTTTTCTTTTTTTTCTTTAATTATTTATTTCAAATCAAAATATTCGCATTTTATTTTCTTTCAACAATGAATTTTTATTCTGATAATGAATAATGACAAAATAGATTTATTTTTTTTTATTTCATTGATGATGCACTATTACCACTAGCTGTTTCTCGTTCTTTATGTACGACAACACCACGAGCAATTAAATCTGGTATTTCAACAGCCAACCAAGGACCAAGCTATTTCAAATAAAAAACAAAGATCAATATTTACATATGTAATTATATGTATTTTAACTTACACCAAGGGCTAGTGCATGTGCAATACCAAAACGTGGTACATTTCGAGCCCATAATGGTTGAAAATGATCAGTCATACAAATTTTTCCTCCACTAAAAAAAAAAACAAACAATAATAAAAAATTCGAAATTAATTTATTTGATGATGATACTTACCGATACATTTTTGCCGTTTTTCCATCAAGATCTGGTATTGCAATTTCAGGTGCTGTCATTGGATATGTAACAGGTATCTATTTATAAAAGAAAATGAAATAATAATAAAAGAAAATTTTGATTAAATTTACATCAAATTCAATATCAAATTCATAACGTAACATATCTTGAATTGTCCATGCTTTTCCCCACCAACGAGTTCCTTCTTGATTTGATTCAAGACGAAACCAGTCATTATCAGCATCCTTGTTATTTTTAACATACTAAAATCACGATACACTTGTTTATATTTAGCTAACGAAACTAATAATTCAAATGTAAATCACTGTTTGAGCTCATATTAGATCTACAAAGAAGTCTCAGAGTCAGGTCTAAACGAATTCGTCCCTATGGACATTTAAAACTGAATTATACTGAAAAAATCAAATAATGGATTTTCAACTTGAGATTTTGTCCATAGATAGAACTAATGAGGCTTAGAATATTCTGAAAAGAATAATCCTATGTCAAGATATTGCATTTTCAAACTGGATTTTTTGGCAATTCAATATATCGACAAAAGAATTCAGTACAATAGCCATAACTCGATTTCAAAAACCCATCAAAACGAACTCTTTTAGACTTTTTCTAGTCTTACTTAAACTTCCTTATAGACCATATATAAGCTGAAAAGATGAGTTATTCGTTTGTAAAATAAATCTTTACTTGTATTAATGCTTGAAGTTCTTCTTTAAGTCTTTGTCGCCATTGTTCACCATCACGTGGACTTGCTTTAGTTTTTAATAATGGAATATTTGATAAAGTCTTTTTTGTTACTTCGTCAACCATCTGAAAAATATGAAATTGTACAAACTCGAAAATATATATTTATTGCATTCAAATAGAAATAATATATTTTATTTCATAAAAATTTTACACCATCAGCACCATTTTCAGAAAATATAATCGCTTGATCACGTTTTTCAAGTTCATTTAGTATACGACGAAAAAGTTTCGAATCAATATTATGAAATTCTATAAATAGGAAAATATTCTAGACAAAAAAAAAAGAAATTTTTTTTGTTAATATAAAATTTATACCAGCTGAACGTGTATCATCACTATGTAATAATTCATAGAATGTGCAAACAGTTCCATTCATACCTCGTGATGTTATCTTTAATAAGAAAAAAAATAAAAATAAAGAATATAGAAAAAATAAATAAATAATTTACCCATTGATAAATTGTTTTAGCCCATTCTTCAGGTGATTTCCAAAAGATTAAACAACGTCGTTTATTTTTATCTTCCCATTCAATATGACCTAAAATTTATTTAATAGAAAAATGATAGATTTTGTTTTTGAAATTTTATTCTACCTCGAATACGTAATTCTTCAAGTAAAATATGAATAAAATTATTATCTAATTGACCTAAAAAATAATATCAAATAGAATTTAATATAAAATTCGTAATTAGTAACACATACGATGAATTTTTGCATTAAAAAATGGTGGAAATTTACTAGCATCATTTACATCAAATGTACAAATCTTTTTCAAACGACAATAATCTATTATAAGTGAACACCAAGCATCAATTTGTTTACGACGCGTATCAAGATTTGATTGAAGACTTAAAAAGAAAAATTAGAATCTTCAGTAAATAAAGGCACTTTTTGTTTCATGCGTGCTTAACTATTATCAATTCATTTCTGAATGATTGTTCTCAAACTCTTGATTCTGATATCATTTTGCAAAAAGACTTAATTTTCATGTCGCTAAAAGATGGACTTATAACTCTGAAACTAGAAGACCTAGAGAAATATATTCCTACATTGTTTCATTCAAGAGTTCTAAGATTTTTCCTGAGATCTTTGATTTCAGCCAATTCACCTATATGATCATTAGTCAATTGATTTGCAATCAGAGTTCTCAGGAAAAGTCCTATAGCTCTCGAATGAAACTAGCTTGGCCAGTCGTCAACTAAGCAAATTTCTGTATACTTTGATAGTTCTGAGTCTTCCTAACGCTCTAGCTCTTCCTGTTCTTGCAAAAAACACACACAGTCATTATATTTTTGGACACTCGATGTTAATAAAAACATTTTCCGGATTTAATTTCATTACAAAAACTCATTCGCTATCACATAAGATAAATCTGAATAGTTTAATCTTTTTTCAAATATTATCTACTCACGTAAAAAATGGTGGAAAATCATGATACCATGATATATCAGAAATTTTAGTTGATGTCATTCTCTTTTTCTATTCTAAGAAAATCTACAAGAGAGAAAAAAAAACAAACAAATAACAATCGATAATTGTTTATTAATGATAATTTTTCTTTTTTTTTTCTTAATAACGAAAAACAAAAACAAAAAAACATTTTATGTTAATGCATCTTCATTTCGAAGAAATTCACCAACATCTGCTTGATGAAAAACTACTAAAGCCATTGGATCAGTTGCTCGACATTCAATTGTTGATTTCGCTGCTACACCAAATCCCTACACACAAGAAAAAAAAATATATATAATCAACTAATAAAAACAAAATTTCATACTTACTAATGGTACATCATTCATTGTATAGACAATAACACCATGATATTTTGGTGTATTTTCTGTGATGCGTCCTAGACCGGATTTAACAACATTATGTCCATAAAGAAATTGTTGTTCAGCATTTGGTTTAAGCCATACTTTATACTGTATTCATAAAACATATTTAAAAAAACAAAAAAGCAAAAAAATCATTTTTTGTTACTTTTGCATATGGAGCAATAAAATCAAGTGCTGTTATATGTAAACGAAATTTACGTGTTTTAGTAAAACGACCAAAACAAGTACCAAAACTAAGTAATTCTTTTCGAGGAAAATTACTTGCATATTTTATAATCGCTTCACTAAAGAATAACAAAAAAAAAAAAAAAACTTTCGTATATTTTTTTAAACATTTATTCAATTTAAACCTGCAATAATAAACCCGTTCACGATGTAAACGAAATGTATAAAGTCCATCAGGACGTTCTAATAACATGCGAACATTATCACCAATACTAAATTTTTCAAAGTTTTTTTTTTCTTATATAGAATATATATATAATGTCTCACTTACTATTTTGAAAGTTTTTCAAATAAAATTTTTGTTTCATCGTCAGTTAATGGACGCATATTAAATTTGATCTAAATATTAGAAATGATAAATTTCTTTACTATTCTAATTAGGAAGCTGTTGGTCCTGCTGGCTCGGATGTAAAGTGTTTTTATTTTCAGAGAGTGGTGAATAAATCGCTAAAATCTTGATCTTCTACTTATTCATATATATGAAGGGTGACATGTATTAATGGAAAAAACCTCGGGTTTGAATCCGAATCCACAAAAACGTAGACTCGCACCTTTCTAATTCTGATAGTTTTCATTAATAAGATATGCATAAGAAAATCTTATTTAATTCGATACTATCATGATACAGTTTCTCATATAACAAAATGATGTGAGTAAGATTTTTCGTGATTGTTCACTTACTGAATCTTGTCAATATGTCTTTTGCAATTACGCAAAAAAAATTCTATTTGTAATAGATTACAGTAAGTGAGCAATGAGAGAATCAATAACAAAAATCTCAGTATCTGACTTCCTCTTTCGATCAATAGAGTCCAAAATTTTCTCACTCGAACTCAATTGATTAAACTTTTCAATACAAACTAGAGATGTACGAGACCACTAGAAAAATATTATCGGATATAAAAAGGGTGATCTCGCAAATTTTCTAATCCGAACTTGGTAATCACTTCGAAGGTGTGAGATTTTATTGAACAATTTCGAAATAAACCAAAAGATAAATTCAATTGATTATATTTTCAACTAATACAATTAATTTCCCTTAACAATAGATGTCACCTATAAAAATATTAATAAATTCAATAAATCTATTTTCTAAATAAATAATCTATTTCCATTTTTGATAATTTATTTCTTATAAAATTTTTCATAAAATTTCTTCATATTGAAGGTTATATTCATAGATAATGGCCGAATGATATATTAAGAGTTTATTACGTGACTCTAAAATTGTTGTTTGATATACATAAAGATCGTATTATTCAAAAATAAGAATGCAGTCATTACTGCATCTTACTTTTATTTTATCACTTATTTCTTTGGTAAGTTATGAATTATAAAATCATATTCAATAGATTTTATTTTATTTTATTTTTTTGATCTTTCTAGACTAATGCTGTCGTTCTCAAAACACCTATGAATAATAATTATCCTCAAATAGCTGTTTTAGGTTGCGATAGTCGTAAAGCTAATTTGTATTATGATATTGATCGACAAGTTTGGATTGAACATTTAATTAGTTCATGTGTACATAATGAACAAAGTATTCTTGAATTTTGTCAACAAGTAATAAAATAAATATCTTCATTAAAACAAAAAAACAACAATATATTCTCTATTTAGGCTTATCCATCACTTAATATTGGTAATATTGTTCGATTAGATACTATATTAACTTTTGAAAATTGGTGTGAATTAATATTACCAATTAATAAAAATGGTGATAATATTCATCGTTGTAAACAAGGTAGTGGTACTGAAGAACGAATACAACCATTTCGTTGTTTATATAAAAATTCTAAACGCGAAGAAATTATTTTACCAACAATTGATTGTTCAATTCATAGTATAATGGGTACAGGTGAATGTTTACGTGCTGAAAAATGGCAACAATTAGCATCAATTGAATGTGCTAATAAAAGTATGAATTTAAATAATTCAATAATGACACTTGATTGGTGTGGTTTATCATCATTTCATGGTATTGAATTTGTTTGTTGTCCAACAAATAAAATTGATGATAATGATTACGAAACAAGTCTTGATGAACAAGATAATAATAATAATAATAATAATAATATTGAAGATAATCCTATTCCAGAACCGATACAATCATCACATCGTCGAATTATAGCTATGGCACTTGCGTCACGTAAATAAACAAAACAAAGAAAACCTATATCAACATTCGAGTTTCTTTTTTTTTTGATCTAGGTGAACCTAGTTGGATGGAAGATTATCGTCGATGGAATACAGATTCTGCATATTTTGCTGGTAAATTACATATATATTTCTATTTTTTTTTCTAGTTTTAAATATAGATGATGAAGATACTAATGATTATCAACCATCATCAATTCCAAAATCTGGCGAAAATCAACGATTTGCAAAAGATAAAGAAGAATTTAAACGAAAATATAAAGAACAAATTGATCAAGTATTATATTGATTTTAAATATTTCCTTTTTTTTTTTGTTTTTAAATCTTTATTATATTTTTAGTTAAAATCTCGTTGGCAAATACGTCAAAATGAAATTCAATTATTAGCTAATCATAATATTACAGCAGCACAAAAACAATATGAAATAACTGAAATTCAATTTCGACAAGAATATGAAATTTTGAAACAATCAGCTAATCGAGAACGAACACGTATGAATGAATTACATGAAATACATTTAGATATTACACTTAATGAAATTAAAACTCAAGCAAATAAAAAATTACTTGATACATGGAACGAAAAACCACTTAAGGTATTAATAATATAAACAAAAAATATTATTAACTATTGATTATTACATCATCATTTACATATTCATCAACAGTTTGCTTATCTATCTAGCAGAAAGACACACACACAAAAAAAAAAAAAAAAGGTCGATTGTATCTGTGTTATATATGTGAATATTTGACAAGCGAATGAAAGAAAGAAACATATGTTTATGAAATATGGATAGATTATTAATGATGATAGTGTTCATACTTGAGAATAGAAAAGGTTACTTATTAAGTACGTAAATGAACAAATATGATAGAATGGAAGAGAGAAAAAAGCGAACGTGTTTGTTGAACTGAATATCCGTTATGAAGTATATGTACTTGAGAATATGATACTTGTCGAATTGCTTTTTTCAACCTTCTATTCAATGGAGCGAGAGAAAAAAAAATTAATTTCTTCTATTCACATAGTAATCAAAGAAGAAGAAGGTATCCGGATTTCTTTTTTTTTTTTTTTTGGAATGTTTCTAAGAGTTTCATTTTTTTTTTTATTATCAATTATAGACAGAAAATGTTGAAAAAGCACTTTATAATTATCTTCAAATTTTATTACGTGATCGTATACATCTTGTTAATCGTTATGAACGTTTACGTGCTGTTGATCCTGAACAAGCCGAACGTAAACGAATGTCTATTCATGAACGATTGCGTTTAATTGTTGACCGAATCAATGATGCATTAAATCAACTTCGACTATATCCAAAACTTCAATCAAAAATTCAACCTCGACTTGGTAAGAGAAAATAAAATCATTTTAAACCCATCAAAAAATATCTATATGGATTATTTCAAATAAAAACGAGACACACATCTCGTCTTTCATTTGATTATAATTCTTGATAAGGATTATTTTTTTTCTCAATAAATTCATTTAGAATAGACATATATAAAAATGTTGACTCTTTTCATGTTGACCTTTAATTAAAAAGTAATTAGCAAATATCTCTTTAATCATATGATTTTACCATTTGAAATTGGTTTTAATCTTGAACGTATTTTTCATTTGTATATTCATACTCTAACGTTTGAAAAATCTAGGCATAGAAAATTTGAATAGAGATTTTGCACTATGGATAAAGATTTCTAGAGCTGATGAAGTCATATCCCTAATGAATGGATTTTATGTAATTAATTTTATTTTAGATACTCTCTTCTTTGAATATGATGAAGTTAATCATGCAGCTGAAAAATTATTAATTGATTATGCAGCTACATCATCATCAACAACAACAACAACAGCAACAACAACAACAACAACAACAACGAAGAAGAATCGTCTTTTACCATTAGGTCGTGATGAAAATAAAATCTATCCATTTTCAACATCTTCAACAACTAATTCATATGATAATAATGATGAATATGATTATGCTACAAATGATGAATATGATGAAGAAGATGATGAAATGGACAAAAAATCTTCAACATTATCAACAACTACTGGTGGTGATATTATAAATTATGATCAAATTGATGCTGGTGATAGTGATTGGGATATAAATAATGATGATACAGAATCAGTATTTGATATTAAAATTGATAATCAAAATCAACAAGCATTTATTAATGAAGTAAAATTCTCCTCTCCCTCCAAAAAAAGAAGTTTTATTTTTATTTTTTTCTAGAATGATA